CCACTGATGACGTCTGTCACATGGCGGACGAAATCTCAGCAAGGATTAATCGGGCTCGCGAGGCAATTCTTAGAGTATCTATTAGCACAAATTTGGTCAGCTTCCGGGTGATCCACCCTCGGTTTCCGGTGGGCCAACTTCCGAATCTATTCCAATCGCATCTTTAAACGTGGCGAAATGTTCAGGAAGTCTTAGAAGGTCGGCTTTTCTTTGTCCACGATCTTGTATTTTTCATCAAATACCCATTCTATTCTGCAAACCTCTACATCCGTTTGACACGTTTATTCTACCATTTTTGACTATTTCTTTACTACCTGCTTCATCCACATTCTCTGTCCATTCTCCATGGCTTCTGTTTAGATCTTCGCGCAGTACCTTCGCCGCCTGGTTCTACATGCCTTTCCGGATGCGCCGAACGTACACATTAGTCAACGTGTTGGAGCACTATGGCGTGGTCTCGAGTCCCCCTTGCGCGACCAATACGCAAACGAGGCAAAACGACTGGCCGACCTGCACGCCGCAGAGTTCCCCGACTACAAGTACCAGCCACGGAAACGCCAGCGCGGCGGCGGTCCTGGAGGTGTGGGCGGTCAGTCCGATGAGGCTGAGGTGGGCCTGGAGGGGGTTGATAAGGACGGGGAGATGATGTACAGCCAGGTGGGCTCCGCTGGAGGCAGCAGCTGCGGAGATGGAGGGTTGGGGAGCTCTACTGCAATTCCATGCCTCGCCGAGGGTGCCAATGTTCTCGGTCGCGTTGGCTCTTCCTTCTCCAGAGCCTCCTATGCGACGCTGACTTGCACTGACAATTCTGTTGGCTCCGACGATGACGAGGTCTCCCAGAGTACCATGAGCCAAACGACCAACTCCTGTAGCCTCCGTCAGACCGCGAAAAGTTCTCTCTCTGCAACGGCCAGTATTGAATTGGGCGGCAATCATCTGAGCTTTATGTCCGACTCATTTGGCCTTGATCCTCGTCCCATGGATGCCGCCTCGTGCTCGCCTCTGTCCTTGCTCTCGGGACCTCCTTCACCCTCCACTTCCTATTCCGGCTCGGCATCGGCATCGGCATCCGCCTCTGCTTCCGTGTCCGCCTCTCCATCCTCTTCGATACGATCACTTACTGACCAGATGCTGTACACCAGCCCCTGTCTTCCCGACTATCTGGTACAGGCGACCACCTCCTTCAGTCTGCTTGAGCCCGCGTCACAACAGTCCGCCCTTCTTGTCCCGACACAACCGCAGACTCTTGTTCGTCTCACTAGTCATCAACCGGTGCCTCACTTTTCAAGTCACGGCGTCGTCAGGCAGCACGCAGCGTCTGTTGGCCAGTTGGTCTTCACTCCTGCGCCCCCGAGACGCCGACTCAGCGTGACTCGTGCTGGAAACAGAAGACGTCATTTGGCCAAGATGTCCACTTCTCTGGGCACCGGGCAGGCCCATTTCGGAAGGCATTTTGATCGCGGCATCCTAGAGGCCTCTTCACACCTGCGCAACTCGTTGGTGCCAGATTCGACTATGCAGACAAGCCAATATGGCTTTCAGGGCCCCTATGGCATCATAAAGCCCCAGGATTCCACAGTCCTCGAGGATCTGGCTGCGAATGACGAGGCTAGAGAGGAACTGGACGGAGACGAGGAGGAAGAGGATGAGGGGGTGGCAGATCAAGACTTTGACGGCGGCTACGTATCTCCACAGTCGTCGTCCGACATTTACGGTGTCCGCCGTCTCGGCTCTTGTATCTTCTCGCGGCAAGCCGACGCCACACTGACTGCCCTAGTCTCAGATGACACCGAGGCCTCAGCCATGGATGCTGTTGTCACGTCAGAGGCGGATGGAGAAGATAGCGCTGTATGCGATGCACCTGACGACGTGTCTGTCATTTCACTCAACTGTGATAACACCGGCTCAATGAGATCTGGGCGACAGGTGAAGTCCGGCCTCTCTTGTCATTCGCCCACCCCGACCCGGCTCATCTTAGTGCCCAGACAGCGATCTCACTCTGGTCTCGCTGGGCACCATCCCTACGCCTCCCCACGCCACTTTTCCGGTCTCTCAGCTTCCTGTGCCACTCCACTCTTTGGTCACCCCCAGGCCGGGTTGCATCATAATAATTCCACCAGGGCTTATTTGCAGTCGGGCGAAAGCGTGCGTCGAGGTGGCATTCTGCTTCCAGCTGGTGTGGCTGTTGGTAAGACTTCCCCACATCTTCGTCGACCATTGGAGTTTGTCGGCTCACCCGTCTCCGCCAACGGGCTGAGTCATTACTCGTCTGATCTGAATCAACCGATTATTGTACTAACGACTGGGCTCACTCCAACCTCATCTCCCCATCCGTCCGACTTGAGGCAGCACCACTCACAAAAGCATCACCATCATCATCAGCAGCAGCAAAGACAGGATCTGGACCCGCTCATGAACTCCGACCCCGTAGTCTATGGTTACACTGGAGATCCGGACGCCGCCTTGTCGGCTGCCATGCCAATGTCGGACGAGGCTAGCGACGCTGACTACTTTCCTACCTACTTCTTGAGCACACCAATCGACAGTCGTGTTGGTATCGCGGCTTTCCAGGCCGCAAGTCCTCTGTTGATAAATGCGCATTCTTCGGGCGATGCCGAGTCGGCATTCACACCCACCGGCTCCTCGCTGTCACCCGACTCTGTGGATCATGGCTTCGCCGGCCCCGGGCCAGGCTGTGAAACTGCCTCAGGTGTTACAGGGGCGCAAAGTGGTGAACTTTACTATCTGGCCGAGGAACCCACTCATTTGTCGCCTCTGCATCCGTTGGAGTTGTGTTCTACGGGCCAGGACGAAGGGGACCCCCTCTGCGGCGGTGAGATGAGCATGTTCCCGCGGCTCCGCGAGGAGGATCCTTCGCTGGTACTGTCGCGTTCTGAGCCCACCTTCGACTCGTGCGGTGCCTCCCATGAGATTCCTGTTCTGCGCCTGCCGGCCTCCTACGACAGCGATCGAGTACCGCATCTCCTACCCTCTCCGGTGGCTGGGGTCGTAACAATCGTCACCTCGGCCACGTCATGCCTTGCCAAACAGCCACCGCTTCTTTCTCGGCTCTCCAACCTGTCTCGTGTGGCCCCGGATCAAGTTGCTGCTATCTCCGGGATCGAGAAGCCAAGTTCTTTGCCCAGGGGCACTGCTGTCGCCGGAGTTGCCAATGTCAACGCGACCAGCGGTGGAGGGCTATCGCTTTGTATATTGGGCGATTCGCTCACAGCCTTCGACGATATAGTCACTACAGAGACAAGTCCGTGTCTGGACGACTTGAATGGTGCGGAACTATTCAACGCTGCCAGCCTGGACGTTGAGGAGACGACCTACGAGCTGCCGACCGGCCGGGGCGCGGCTGTCTGCGTTCGCTCAGAGCCAGAGCCTATGCGCTCAGTGACACCCAAACGTGCGTTGAAACCGGCCGACCGCCTAGAAGACACCGGGGCACAGCGTCTGAGACGTCTCAGGTCGCGAGACTCCACTTCCACTCCTGCGGTGGAAGGTTCCGGGACTACCGGGCGGCGAGGTAGAATGAAGAAGGACGAGGGCGAGGCTGTTGAGGAACAAGAAAGGGTTGTGATAAAGGAGGAAACCGTCGTTCACCTCGAGGACGCCCGACTGCCTGCACTCAGCTCGTGGATGTTTTCTCGCAGTTCGTGATAACCAGTTTTTTCTTAAGGATACTCGCATCTTTCTCACCCTCCTATGGATGGGTTCATCACAGCAGTTGTGAGAGGCGCCGCTGCGCCGTCTTGTTGACGGGCCCCTTTGGGTTTCATAATATTCTACTTTCTGTCCCCAACTTGCCGTTCTCCATCTTGGCTGGATCCCTGGGCCTCGACGGTGTTTAGAAGCCGTGACGTTTTGCTGAAGAGCAGAGGAAAAAAGAAGCAAAATCTTACAATTTCTTTTGGAAATTCCATGTTCTCAGGGTGGCAGACAAAGGGAAGGAATGGGCCGAAGAGATTCTGGTTCAGATGCCCATATTTCTTTGTGATTGTGCTATCCACAAAACCTCAATCCAGGTGATGATTGAATCCGGTTAAGTATATAGCCTATTTTTACTAATTTTTGATATTGTTTTTATTTCAAAATTTGCACTGCTGCTTGAGCTTTTGGGCCTCATAACGCTCTAATGCATTCTCCTTTTTATTCCTCAGTTCGTCTGAATGTGTCTGCATGCTTGTATTACTCGAGGTTGCCCTGGACTTTGTGTTTTCGCTAGTCTTTTTCCTGTTTTGTCTTTCCAATTGTGTGAATTACTGAATAAAATATGCCTTCATTCGTCTGAATCCGTCAACCAATGTGCACTTCTCTGCCATATTTGTGCATCCAGTCAAATGCATTTAGTCCTTTTTAATTTTCCATTTTGCTGAAAGACAGACGCTCTCCTCCCTTTCGGCAGTGCGCAGTCAACACAATCCCAGTGAAGAACTATTTTTTTGTCAACTCACCTGCCATGCTCGCGACCAGGCCACACTTTTTTTATTTTCTGCTGACAGCTGACCCAGTCAATCCGTTTGATTTCCAATGATTATGCTATACCAGTAATAAAGACTCGCCAAAGGCTTCATTTACCTTTCATTTTTCGGCCACGGTCCCCGTTGCAAAGGTAGTTGCCCTATTTGCACATTTTCTTAACTGTCTTCTGGTCAGCCTCTTGGGCACCCTCAGGAAAGCGAATCTGCCTTCACCACATGGTATCTTTCGAAAAATTATCGCTATAACTCGTTGGTGCGATTTGTTTACATTGTCCACCCTCAGTAATAAGCGTCCGTCAACACCTCTGATCGGATAGATCAGCAATACAGTCATCGTGTATTACAATTACTGCCAACGAATTGATCTTGCATACTGCAAGATAAATATATCTCAGCGAAAAATTTAATATTAATGATGAAATGAGCGAGCTCTACCTTGCTAATTTTTGCTTTCCGGACCACTAGAACATTCACCAATTTCACATAGTGGGCAAAATGACACAAATAATTGCAAATTTTGCCTAGGCAAAGCCACAATCCGTTTTCCGTTAAGGCGTAGTGGATGGATGTTACATAGCTTTCTGCTGTTGCTATTTCAACCGCACATTTTCTGCTAATAAGCCCTATTGAGCCCTTGAACACTCCACTTACTACACAAGATCTCTTATCCACAATTAATTTAAACTCCAAATATCCTTCATGTTCACTGGATAGGCCTGGCAAACCGTCATTGAATGAGGTGCGACGGATCACACCATCTTTACCTGATAGGGAGTCGTTATGCTAACGTCGAGGTGTACTTGTTTCACAGACCTGATTGGTCTCCGCAAGTCTGCCCACGATAAACTTAAGAGAAGGCTTGACTTTGCATCGAATTTCGCTTAATCGTGCATCCGAGATATCCTTATTGTCTATGCCAGACCTCAGCTTTGATATCGTCTTATTAACCCCCTGGTAGGGTTGACTGTGGATGTGAGGCTTAGCAGTCGCAAACGTTGTTATCCATTGGGTTACACGATCAAATCCCACTGATCGACAAGCCTGACGTGCACAGTTGGGGGTTTTCTATCAATAGGTGGACGACCAAGTGCATTCCACTAAACAAACTAACAGCGACTACAGTTGGCTACGCAGCGGTCACTAGCCTGGTTGGTGTGTGGCCTTCATAGACAGGTTGAGGCCTAATTGTGATGCCCAAGCACTCTCGTCTAGGGATCCAGGGTAAGCAAGAAATATCCGATCAAGGAGCTGTCAACCACCAATGAAGGGCCTTATTCTGCTTAAGCTTACAAACGGCACTTGAATTGCCTTCCTCCTAAACAAGTGTAAGTCGTCCATTTCACTATTTTAGTCATAATTTCAGCAGTATATATAGAAGATGTGAAGAAAAGTAGGGTTTCTAGGAA